AGTTTGCCACGTCTAGCCAATGAGCTGCTGTGGGAATGAGGTAGACAGTATTTGTTTCATGTGGCTATTTAAACTTAACTTAAAATTAAATAAAATTAAGAATTTATGTCTTCAGTTGCATAAGCCACATTTCAAGGCCCAGAACCCACAAAAAACTGGCAGCTACTCTGCCGCACAGGCTGACAGAGAAAGTTCTGTGGGGCAGTTATGGCCAGTAGACCTGAGGGAAGCCTGTGGGACTTACGGGGCAAGGTGTCATTACTCATTGAAGGAGATACACAGAAAGAGAGGGCTCTTTTCTGCAGGACCACAGTCTTTTGGCCAGGAGAGAAGCTGATTCAATACAGAACAGAGGCATCAAGGATGGTGCATGAGTCTGCAGTGAGGCCCTAGCAAATTACCACCAACTGGGTGGCTTAAAATGGCAGAAATGTGCTCTCTCACAGGGCTGGTGGCCACAAGTCCAAGAACAAAGTATGCGCAGGAACACGCTCTGTCTAGGAGCCTCTCCCAGGTCTGGTGGTGGATGTCAGTCTTCTGCATCCCTTGGCATATGGCTACACCGATCTGATCTCTGCCTGCATTGTCATTCAGCCATGTCCTTGTGTATCTGCACTCAGCCGTCTTCTTTTTTCTTTTTTTTTCACTCAGTCTTCTTATGAGGACACTAGTCCCTGGATCAGAGCCCACTGTACTCTGGGATGACCTCATCTCAACCAATGACATCTGCAGAGACACTATTTCTAAATAAGGTCTCATCCCCACTCTCATCTGGGTGGGCATGAATGTAGGGACACTGCTCACCCCAGGACAGATGGCAACAACCTATATCCATTAAGAAGTCACTGAGCTGTGATCTGGGCGGCTTCTTCCAAGAGACAATCAATATCCCTTCAGCTCTGAGCTGCTCTGAGCCAGGTTTGTGGTGACCTACAGCCAACGACACTGCAAGGGCCATAACAGTCCCAGGAGAGGGTTCCTGGGCAGGTTCTCTGAATGTCTCAGCTTCCTCATCTACAGAATGGTTGGAAAACCTCAGATCAGTAAGGAGAATTTAGCCCAGATCCCCAGTCCCCTTCTATGTGGAGGAACATATCTCCAGCTTCCGGAGGTTAGAACAAGGACATTTGGGGGCCATTATTCTGCTGGCCACACTGATATGTAACTAGTCTCCCAGGGGAAGAGTCTTAGTTCTGAGTTCTGGTCCTGGATTTTCACTGAGCAACCTCAGACACAACTCTGCCTCTCAGTGCCGCAGTTTCCCCACCTGCAAATAGATATGGCACGTTGGCTCTAGGGAGGAAGAGCCTCACTCAGACTGCTAATCCACACATAACATTCTCTGTGGGACTGAGGTCCTAATGACCCCTGCCTGGACCTCACACATCTTTGTAAACCAGGAGAGAATTCTGGCTCTCACTATGCCTGCAGTGAGTAGGTGCCAGGAGACAGAAGTTCCCAGGTGGAACCCAAGGCTAGTTCAGACTCCAAAGGCCCTCCCTTTCTGGCCAGCCAGGGCCAGAGCCCCTGGTCTATCAATCAGAAACTCCTCTGGGCTCCCTCTCCACACAGGAACCACTGTTCTCTCCACCCCTACATCTCCGTGGACCAGGCCACGATCATCTCTTCTTGGCTCTTTGCTGCCCTTTCAGATCCCTCCCCTCTCTTACTGCTGTTTTCACAAAGGCCACTTGTGAATTTCCAAATTCCAGCCAACCACAGTGGCTAATGCCTATAATTCTAGCATAGCACTCCAGGAGGCCCAGGCAGGTAGACTGCTTGATCTCAGGAGTTTGAGACCAGCCTGAACAAGAGTAAAACCCCATCTGGACTAAAAATAGAAACAACTAAGCTCGGTGCCTGTAGCTCAGTGACAAGGGTGCCAGCCACATAAACTGGGGCTGGCAGGTTCGAACCCAGCCAACCAGGGCCTGCCAAACAACAGTGACAACTCCAACAAAAATATAGCCAGGAGTGTTGTGGCAGCACCTATAGTCCCAGCTCCTTGGGAGGCTGAGGCAAGAGAATCCCTTAAGTCCAAGAGTTTGAGGTTGCCGCGAGCTGTGATGCCACAGCACTATACTCAGGGTGACATAGTAAGACTCTGTCTCAAAAAAAAAAAGATAAGGTGGCACCTGTGGCTCAGTGAGTAGGGCGGCAGCCAAACTGTAACAAAAAATAGCCAAGTGTTGTAGCAGGTGCCTGTAGTTCCAGCTACTCGGGAGGCTGAGGCAAGAAGAATTGCTTAACCCCAAGAGTCTGAGGTTGCTGTGAGCTGTGATACCATGGCACTCTACCAAGGGCGAGAAAGTAAGACTCCATCTCTAAAAAAAAAAAAAAAATAGAAAAAACTGGCTGGGCATAGTGGCACATGCCTGTAGTCCCAGTTACTCAGGAGGCAGAGGCAAAAGGATTGCTTGAATCCAGGAGTTTGAGATTGCTATGAGCTACAATGATGCCATGGCACTCTACCCAGGGTGACAGAATGAGACTTGGTCTCAAAAAAACAAACAACAAAAAGCCTCCAAACTCTGCCCCGTCACCCCTGCTTAAAATCACCCAAACCCAAGCTTCTCACCACAGCCCACAAATCTCTCCTGCTTCTCTATCATAAGCTCCAGCCACACACACCTCACTGTTATACAAACATGCTGAGTTCATTCCCTGCCAATGGCCCTTTGCACTTCCTGGTCCCCTCCCTAGAATGCTTTCCCCAATCATTTCATGTCCGAGGATTTCACAGCTTCAGGGCTCAGCTCAAATATCACCTCCTGAGAGATGCCTTCCCTGACCACTGCAGCTAAAGTAACCCCCCAGTCTCCTGCTCTGACATTACACCCCAATCCATACATAACATTCTCTCACCTTAGCTGAGCCCCTACCAGTACCTGCTATCTCCCCATTTATTTATTCTCTTATTTATTGCCTTTCTCTCCCACTAGGAGCCAAGCTCCTTAAAAGTAGGGACCAAATCTTTCTCATTTTCTACTCCTCATCTGTACCTGACAGGCATGGGCATACATCAAATATTTGCTGCGTTAATGAAAAAATCACAATTATTATAACCCACTATCCTGAACCCTAACAACTATAGTATCTGAATTCTCAATCTTCTAAATCCTACAGCCATAGCTGATGGACAGATGTGACTTTTCCTGATGGGAAGTGGTGTGAAGGAAGCCCCCAGCATCCTCCGTGAAACATTGTTTCCAACTGTTCTCCAGTCAATCACAAGCTAATCTATACATAACAAACTAAAGAACAAACTGCCAAAACACAGGGAAAAGGAGAAGACAGAAGAGCAAGCTAGATGACACTACAAGAAACAGCCAGACCCAGCATGTAGGACCATCTGCAATGGGACACCCAGCCCTTAAATCCTACTCAGACAGGTTCCAATCCCACAGGTCTGGAGTAGGGCCTGAGGTTTTGGAGTATCCCAGACAATTTGATGCTGCCAGTCTGGACCACAAAGACAGGAATGAGTGTCTGCAATCAGCTTCTTAGGTGTCCCTTGGCTTGTGGCTATACCACTTGAGTCTCTGCCTTTGCCTTCTTCGGCCTTCTCCTCTGCCAAATTTCCCTCTTCTTCTTCTTCTTCTTTTTTTTTTTTTTTTTGTGTGTGTAGAGACAGAGCCTTACTTTATTGCCCTTGGTAGAGTGCCCTGACGTCACAGCTCACAGCAACCTCCAACTCCTGGGCTTCGGTGATTCTCTTGCCTCAGCCACCCAAGTAGCTGGGACTACAGACGCCCTCCACAACGCCTGGCTATTTTTTTTATTGCAATTTGGCCGGGATCAAATTTGAACCTGCCACCTTTGGTATATGGGGCTGGTGCACTACCCACTGAGCCACAGGCATGGCCCCAGATTTCCCTTTTCTTACAAAGACACCAGATCATTAGATTAGGACTAATGCAATCCAGCAAGACCTCACCATGACTTGATTATATTTAATGATGCTATTTCCAAACAAGGTCACATCCATGGGTTCCTAAAGTGCATGAATTTTGGAGGGACACTATTCAAACCAGGATAGAAGGAGGGGAACAAGCAGTGCGGGGCGCGGGGGGGGTGGCCTTCAAGAAAATGCAAAGACATATAACAACCAAATGCAAAAATGTGCACTTTCACAACTCTAGTCCTAGAGAGCCAGCTGGGGAGATGGAAATACTGCCCCATGTCCAACAAGCATTTTGAAATCACTGATCACTTTTCTAGGTGCAATAATCAACTGTAATTTTAGGAAAACAGCTCAGAAGACCAGAGGTAGTACTCAATGGTGAGCATCATACACCTGTAGTCTTCTTTCAAATGGTTTATCACAAACTATATATAGTGATAGATATATTGAACAGAGGTAAATATTAGCTGTCCTTGGTGGAGGTACATGAGCAACCCACTCACTCAAGTTTTTTGTATGTTTGAAAAGGTTCATATAATACATGTATTATAAAAATCCGAGATAAATAAACAAAGGCCGGTTTCTTTAATCACATTCGAAGTCCCTATAGCTGACATACAGAATCCTGGGGAATCCTGGGGTCTGTCCAAGTGCGGCCCCTTAAAATACCCCTTCCCATGCCCCCATCTCAGGTCAAGATCTCGGCAGGACCCCATTCCGTTGTCTGTGATGGAGTATTTCTTGGGGGACCCAAGTAGCACAATGCCCCCACCACATCCTCACTCTACTCTCCCACCCAAATGGCTTGGGAAAAGTGTTCGACCTGCGCATGCGTATGCCTGTCCCACCTGCCATCCACTCCCCGCCCTTCCCCACGTGATTCCGTGGGAACCTGGACCCCAGCGCCTCCTAGGTGGGGGCAGCAGCTAAGCGCAGGCTAGAGATGGGGTCCGGGTAGTGGGGAGACGAGGAAAGATGGTGTGGGAACATCTGGCTCTCGGGATCCCCGGAATCCCAGAGAAAAATTGGGGGAGGGGAACCCCAGTGCCCGAGAGTCTGGAGGACGGGATACGCAGATCCCGGCCAGTGCACTCACCCGCACGATGTAGGAGACCCCGGGCCCCAAAACCCTAGCGTCGGGATGCAGCCAGCCGTGTGCTGGCTTGTGGATGAAGCTGCCCTTGCGGATCCACTCCGCGGCGGCGGCGTCTGGGGGCCCCGCCGGCCCCCGCGCGCCCCTTGGCCCCCGCCCTGCGGCGCGACAGCGGCTAAGAGCCGGTAGGGAACAGGGCACGGCGCAGCGTGGCTCGCAGGCACCAAGGACGGCGGCCGCCAGCGCCGGGACGCTCGTCGCGCCTGCGGGCTCCGGCTGGGGGTCGCCGACCTCCGCAGCTTCAGCCGCCCGCGCCGCCGCCGGGCTGCGGCCCAGGAAGCCTCCCGCAGCCGCGAACTTCCACTGCGGCATGCGCGGCAGCAGTGCACAGAAGGTGGTGGGCGCCTCGGGCTCTGGGGGCGCGGGGGGCGCGCGCCCGCCCGGACCCTGCGTCATGGCCGCGGCCGCCGGACGGAGCCCGACCGGGCGCTGAGCCTGGAGCGGAGGAGGCCCTCCGGTTCCCTCTCACTCCCTCCCCGCCCCCGGTCCGGTGATGTCATCCGCCCGACCCAGCGCGCAGCCGCGGGGGGCTGCGCCCCTGGGACCCCGACCCTCGGTGTCTTGGCGTCTGACCGAGAGGCTGGAGAAACTGAGGCCTTCCAACAGCATTGGGTGGTGGCCCCAAACCGATAGCCAAGGAAAGAGGGACGTTTCAAACTAGGACCTCGTCAGCGACCCTCCCCATTTCGCGCCCCTCCACACCCGCTCCCCACCCAAGTTCCTAGAAGGGCAGAGCTGGGCAAAGCTTGGAGATCACCTCCTTTCCTTCCCTTTGACTGATGGGGAATCTAAGGCCTGGCGGAGGCGCGGCCAGGGAATGAGAGAACCCCAAACCCTAAGCTCAGCCCCCTTTCTCTCTACTGACCCAGCCAGGAGGTTCTTCAAGATCATGCCCTACTCTGTTTCCAAATGAGCAAACTGAGGCCTGGGAGGGGAAGGGGCTTCCCGAAATTGCACAGCAGAGACTTAGAGGCTGGAGTACCGTGTCTGGGTGGGGGACTCAGAGCAGAGCTGGTTCCCTCCTTTTGCTACTTGTCCCTAGTCTCAGCTTCTCAGGCTGTAGCCCAGTGCAGCGGGCTGAAATCCCCTCAATTTCTGGGGATCCCTTTACATCATTAGCTCGTCTGAGCTCTTGGGCCTGAGCCACTCAGGCCAGTTGTTTTATCAGTCTCTGAGACAGGCCTACCCCGCCCGGGCCTCAGAGGTTGATTCCTTCTGCGCAGGGAAACGGGGAGTCACGCTCACCCCAGGACCGGCCTCCTGACTGTGTTCTTAGCCGGATAACCCCCTTCCCCTGCTCCGCCCCATCCCAAATGGGGCTGATGGCCAGGAAACAAAGGGAGGGGTCTAAGAGGCTCTGGTAGGTGGGGAAGAAGGGGTGAGGCTGCCTGGAGCCGATCGATAAATCAGAGAAATGAGATCACAGCCTGGAACCACGGGAGGAGTTGGGGAGGGGTGGAGGAGGGGATGCAAGCACGGCAGCGATTGGCCCGCTGGGGGATGCAGCCAGCGAGTGTCAGGCAGTGATCCCTATTGTGTCCTCCGGAGAGGAGCGAGTGGAGGGCTGTGGCCCTCTGGCCCTCATATCTGAGTGTGGGTGTGACGTTTGCAGGGTCAGTAGCTCACATGTGGGTTTCTGTGCTGTCTTCATTTCAGTCTGTGCTCCTGTGGGTTGTGTGAGGTTTGGGTCTTGTGTGCAGGTGTGAGGAGTGCATGGAGAAGGTGTAGGTGCAGGCCCAGATATATGGAGAGGGGGCATCCAGATGCCTGTCCAGGTGTGTGTCCACCTGGCTGAGGAAAGGGGAGTGTATCATAGATATGGCAGCCTCAGGCTAAGGCAATGGGGTGAGGAGACAGCTGAGCCCACCACCAACCCCTGTGGCACAGCAGTGCCCCCTCCATGGAGGCCCTATGGCAGCCTCTGTCCTCCCAAGTTTCTGGATTAAGGTCTCTCTGGATGTGGGGTTTGTAAGGAGTGGACCTAAGTACCATACACTGCCTGGAACAAAGAGGGCCTGGTCACATGGTGCCATAAGTATGTTTCTTTCTTGTCCCCAGAGTGGCAGGAAGAGAGCCCAATGGCCAGTGGTCAAATCCTGGCACCCGACTGTTACGGGGGCATATAGCATGCCCTATAACAAATGTCCAGTCTCCCTGAAGCTCCATTTCCTCTTGGTAAACATCACCTGCCCCCTTAGTTGCTATGAAGCTTAGATGATCTTTATCAATATCTGGAACATAGGATCAATATCTGGAACCTACTGATAACAGATATTAGAATACATCAAACTCCTATATATCCTTCAAAACCTAGCTTCAATGTTTCCTCTTCCAGGAATTTTATCTGGCTACCCCCACGCAAAACCCTGGTTCCATCTCTGGCCTCCCCCAGCCCTAGGTCTCTCCTCTGGTCCTGTCCAGACCCCCTGGGGGCTGGAGAGCTATAAGTCTGGTTCTGAGAGACAGTATTCAGGTCTCCTTTCTGTACTGTTAATAGGCACATTAACAGTGTGTGATGTTGACAGCTCTAGGGCTGAAGTTTATTGGCAAACAACTCTAGGGTGTGAAGTTTGGAGGGCAAGGCCTCAGGGCCGCTTCCAGCCTGTGTTTTTCCAGCTAGGATCAGTCGTGGCAGCCACACTTCCATGAAAAGCAGAGAAGAGGCCAACGGTGATGAGGACCCAGGCCCTAGTAGGGCTGGACGCCGAGTTCTAGGACACAGGAAGCTCCATCTCCAGCCAGCTACTGGGGAAGGTTGAAGAGTGTCCCTTTCCCTGACTGGCTTGGCCTGGTGTGACCGGGAGAGAAGAAACTGGGGCATTGGAAGGAGACTCGCCCTGCATTCTGCGCAGGGCCACAGGGTCACAGCCCCTGGGACTAGAAGAATCAAGTGACCCAGAAGGACCTCAGACCATTCAGAAAGCGTGGCCTGCTAGCTTCTCCGAGCCCCTCCAGCCAGAGTCAGGACCCATGAGAGGCCTGCCCATACCCCCTTCACAGCACAGGAAATTGAGACCTAGCCCAGGAGGGGCAGTTGGGCAGCGGGCAGCCTGCACCCTGCAGGCCATCAGGGTGTGGTGGCAGCACACATGGTGGAGGCCCGTTTCCAGTGGCGGATGCCCATGGTGTAGGCTGGCGCCCTGGCTTTATTCACTGTGACCTGCTCAGGGCTATGGGTGCCAGGGCCAGGTGTCTCCTGCAGGGGCCGTGGGGCACGCGGCCGCCCCAGCATGGTGAAGGCAGGCTGGCGCTGACGGTAGGTGTCGGGGTCTGGGCTGTTGTACTGGCCTGGGCCAGGTATCTTGGCAGGATCCTGTGGGGGACGGGCAGGGGGTGTGCGGCCCACCACTGTGTAGCTGGGGCTGCTGGGCTTAGTGAAGATCTGAGAGCCCCAGAGAGGGGGCATGGTGTAGGCATTGGGGGCAGGGACCGAGGTGTCCAGGGGCTTCGGGCGGAGGCGGGAGCCCAGAGTGAAAGCTGGGGCAGTCCGATGATGCACAGGGGGCACCTTCTCTGGGCTGTAGGCCCCAGGGCCTGGTGTCACCTCCAGATCTAAGAGAGCAGGGAAGGAAGGTTGGCACTGAAGAGTCAAAGGCCTTGCATGGTTCCTGCTAGCCCACAGGCATCCTGGAGCCCATGACTCTTCTCAAGTAGCCCTGGGGCATTTCTCTCCCTTTCTCACCCTCCATGGACACAGATGGATTTCCAAGCCTCCAGCACTTTGCCCAAGCTCAACCCTCAGCCTTCCATTTCTCATTCAATGCCTTCCCCATGCCGTCCTTCTAGGCAGAGCCTCGAAGCCCTTCCTGGGATACCCTTGGCCTAGGTCTTCCTCTCTCTCAAGACCTGACCCCACTGAGTCCTGGGGTCTGACTCCACCACTAGATCTCATAAAAAACAAGGAATGTTAAATTTACTCCCACTCCCCAGCAGGTTACTTAATACATGTTTATCTGAGTGGATGAGTGAATGAATGGTTGGGTGAGGGAGTAGACGGAAAGATCCATGAATATATAGATAGATGGGTTGATGGAAGGATCAGTTGGTGGGTAGAAGGAAGGATTCATGGATGGATGGATGGATGGATAGATGAATGAATTGATGGATGGATGAGTGGTGGGGTGGATGGGCAGGTGGAGGATGGATGGATGGAGGGTGGATGGGTGGATTAGGATGGATGAATAGATGAGTGGGTCAGTGGATGGGTAAACGGAGGATAAATGGATGAAGGATGGATGAGTAGATGGAGGATGGATAGACAGGTAAGTGGGCTAATTGGTGGATGAAATGATTATAGATGATTCATGAATGGACCTATTGATGAAAGGATGATATAATAAATGAGCTGAAGGATGGATAAGTGGATGGATAAATAAATAATAAATAATAAATGGGCAACAGGTCAAAAGATGAGGAAGGGATGGATGGGGGAACGTAATCAGTACTGGAGTCACTGGGAGCCTGGGAGGGGATTGCTGCAATATGCCACAGTCCCCACCACACATTCTTGTCTCCTTATGCCAATGCCAGCTGTCTCTGTGGCACCACACATGTACGGGGTCACTGTGATACTGGCTCACTTCACTTCTCCAGGTTTTCCCAGGGGCCCCATGGACACTGGAGTTGTGGCTATTTATCTGAGTCCCTTGGATTTTATTATTCCAAAGACTCTGGAGTTCTAAGAACTTCAAAGATAGGGAGGAATGGAAGGACAGGGCAGAAGATCTCCTGAAACCCTGAAAGGCAGGTCCTTGTGTGGCTGCATAGCTCAGATACTCACCCCGACACTTGCCCCGGCCCTGAATGGAGTAGGCAGGGGTACAGCTGCGGCCAAAGCGGGTAACCTTCGGGTCCAGGAAGTAGACCGGCCCCGGGCTGTCATCCTGCGGAGGGGCTGGGAGAGGAGCCCCAAGTACTGAGGGCACTTCTGAAGATGGAGCCTGCCTTACCACTCAGCACCCCTTTTAGCACTGAGGCACTTTCCCAGGTGCGGACGTCATCCCAGCCCCCAGATCGGAAGGCAGTTGACTCAGAAGCACTGAGGCAGCAGTGCCCTGGGTTTCTGTGATTCCTTTGCACTACGGCTCTGCTGAGGGCCACAGAACCAGCTCCTGGTTTGTTAGGAGTGTTTATAAAGCAAGAGCAATCAGGCTCTGAGTCAGATCTGAGGAGGAGCTTCAGCTGGCATGTAACATACTTACAAGAGAGACTCTGACCTGGATCACATTTAAATCCCAGCAGGGCCTCTTAAGAGCTCATGTCCTTGGGCAAGTTATTTAACCTGTCTAAGCCTCTTTCTTCTCAACAGTGGATTCAGAAAATTAAAAGGGAAGATGATCCATGAAAGGGAGTGGCCCCAGTGCATGGCACTTAATAATCAGGACCAATCACCACAATAGTTGTTATTACTACGTTCAAGAACACTGAGATACATATGTGGACATCTATGTACAGTAGGTTTGACAAATATTGATTGGTTTACATACAACTACTATGTGTACACATGCTAAATACATACATGAGTAAGCCGCTGGTGAGGGATAAGACACCACCCAATCTTGATCCTGGCTTTGTGGCATACTCACCACAATGAATACTGTACTCATGACATGGGCTCCTAATTGGCTGTCCCCAACAGTGGTCAACGTATTAGCATGGGAAAGGAGGTCTATTTTTAACCCCTCCCCAAGTCCCAGAGTAGCATTGGAAGTAGCTGGGGGAACTCTTCATCAGAGTCTCATGGCAGCTTCACACATGCCTGGGCCATAGTCAGGCAGACTGACTCACTTCTTTTTCTTTTTTTTTTTAGAGACAGAGCCTCAAGCTGTCACCCTGGGTAGAGGGCCGTGGCATCACAGCTCACAGCAACCTCCAACTCCTGGGCTCAAGTAATTCTCCTGCCTCTGCCTCCCAAGTAGCTGGGACTACAGGTGCCCACCACAATGCCCGACTGTTTTTGGTTGCAGTTGTCATTGTAGTTTGGTGGGCCAGGCTGGATTCGAATCTGCCAGCTCAGGTATATGTGGCTGGTGCCTTAGCTGCTTGAGCCATAGGCGCCGAGCCTCACTTCTGTTTCAAAGCAAGGAAGGAGACAGTTTTACCCATGTGGAAACAGTTTCAATGAGTTCACCCAGCAAGGACATGGCAATGAGGACTCAGTGTGCTGGAGTCTGATTCTTAATCTCTGCCCTATGCCACTGAATATTCTAGCCTTTTCTTCAGCCTCTCCCACCCCTGCACCCCTAGTCCATACCCAATGAGAAATGAACACATTCCAGCTCATGATGACATTTCCTACCTTAAGGCTATAGCCTCAAGGTCTTTTCTTCTCCTGGGGGCTTCGCCAAACTCTTACTCATCCCACAAAACTCAGATCCCATACACTACTTTCAAGAAGTCTACTGTGGGCTTTCAGTAAAGCTTGCCCTCTCCTCTCTTCATCTGACTCCCTAAGCTGTCTCTGTCCCAGGAAGTGTCCCTGAGACTCAGATTTGAACCTGGATAGGCAGGTCTGTCTAGGCACAGGCTAAGTTCTTAACCCATTCCCAGCAACAGAAGTGAAGCCAATGCCTTCATTTGCTTTTTAGGGCCCTTGAGGTCTCTTGAGTCTTATTTCAGTCTGGTCTGGGATTTTTGCTGATTCTGGAGGCTGAGAAAAGGTTGTTGGCCCTACCTCTCCCCAACCACCCTCTCCCAACAGGCTTCTATCCATATGAAGCAAACTCCTTACACAGAACCCTTCTAGCCACCTGCCCCAAACCACTCCAGACCTTGGAGCAGCTTGCGAAGATGAAACCATGGACTTTTCAATCATTGAGATGAAAGGCATTTGCCTTTTAGTGTAGGCTTAGGGAAGCCCCACCCCCACCCCCATCCATTTGCCCACCCACCCTCAGCCTTACCCTCACTGGGCCTCCGAACAAGCGAGTAGGCAGGACTGGCCACCCTGGTGCAGTCGTGGTTGACATAACCCACAGTGGACGGCAGGATGTACAAGCCCGGCCCGGAGCCTGCAACCCCAAGCCCTTGGGTCACGGTCAGGGACCTGGCACCCTGAAGGGTTGAGGGAGGAGCCCTAGGCCAAAATCCTGAGCCTGGGCCTAGGCTCCCACTCTCCATCCATGGTGGGGTAGGGGGTAGCAAGAGGCTGCACCCTCAGGGTACAAAGTGTGACACCTGCATTGTGAGTCAAACTTGAATCACAAGAATGGGAGTGGGCTGGGCTACCTCCTTGCCTTGGGGCATAGATGGAAAGGAGGCTAGGCATAGATATGTGTCACAGATGAGGAAATTGAGGCTCTGGCACAAAATTACATGTCACAGATGGGGAAACTGAGGCCTGAATCTCATAGAGATAGCTGTCATAATTGCAATGTTTGGTGACTTCTATAAAAATCTCATTGCTGGGCGGCACCTGTGGCTCAGTGGGTAGGACGCCAGCCCCCTATGCCAAGGGTGGCAGGTTCAAACCCAGGCCAAATTGCAATAAAAAAATAGGCAGGTGTTGTGTCGGGCACCTGTAGTCCCAGCTACTCAGGAGGTTGAGACAAGAGAATCGCCTAAGCTCAGGAGTTAGAGGTTGCCTTGAGCTGTGTGACACCATGGCATTCTACCGAGGGTGATAAAGTGAAACTCTGGCTATACAAAAAAAGAATGTCATTGCCAGCTGGGCACCTGTAGCACAGTGGTTATGGCGCCAGCCACATACACCAAAGTTGGCAGATTTGAACCTGGCCCGGGCCAGCTAACCAACAATGACAACTGCAACAGAAAAATAACTGGGCATTGTAGCAAGCGCCTATAGTCACAGCTACTTGGGAGGCCAAGGCAAGAGAATCACTTAAGCCCAAGAGTTTGAGGTTGCTGTGAGCTGTGACATCACGGCAGTCTACCCAGGGTGACATAATGAACCTCTGTCTCAAGAAAAAAAAAGAGGGCTCAGTGCCTATAGCTCAACTGGCTAAGGTGCCAGCCACGTACACCTAAGGTGGCGGGTTCGAATCTCCAGCCCGGACCCACCAAAACAACAATGACGGCTGCAACCAAAAAATAGCCGGGCGTTGTGGCGGGCGCCTGTGGTCCCAGCTACTTGGGAGGTAGAGGCAGGAGACTCGCTTGAGCCCAGGAGTTGGAGGTTGCTGTGAGCTGTAATGCCATGGCACTCTACCCAGGGGGACAGCTTGAGGCTCTGTCTCAAAAAAAAAAAAAAAAAAAAAAAAAAAAAAAAAAAGAGAATGTCATTGCCACAGGGCCAAGAGAGGTCACAGAACCAGCCACAAAATCTGGCCATAGAACCTTACTCACACTGTTTTTTATAGATGGGGAAACTGAGGCACAAGAGCAACACCATGAAGCCTCATAGTTAATATATCTTCCTGGCAAAGCAGCTCCGCACACACTCCCAGCCTCTCTGTTGTTTTTCATTTTTCATTATCACCAATTATTACACCATAAACATTGTTATTTGTTTTACTCCTCTGTCTCCCTGATAGGAACTTTGCTGCTTTGCCCACTGCCCTCAGCACCTAGAAAGGGGCCTAGCCCTCAGAACACTCAATTTTTGTTGAATGGACCCATCCACAAGGCCAATGAAAACCTTGTGTTCATATCCATCGTACCATACAGAAAACTGACATTTGGGGAAAGGCAAGGACTTCTCTGAAACTCCTGCCTCCTACGCTCCCAGAAGGGCCAGAAGGGGGAAAGGGGGCAGGACAGGGTCCCACCATGACCCATTGGCACCCACCCCCCAGCAAGTGCGCACCATTCTCCAGTGTAGCTGTCCTACAGGACTTCCTCAAGCCGGTCTCCGGAATCTGGCCCTCTGCCAATCGCCGGCCCAGAGGCACTGTGGTCAGCCGTGGAACAGGGTTGCAGCCAAGGGTCCCCATGAAGAGCAAGTATAGGACCACAGGCAGAGCCCAGGGGCCTGGTGCTGTCTCCTCAGCCGCTGCAACTCTGGCAGCCACAGGCCCAGGCAGAGTCCCCAGCCTTCACAGTCTCTGCCTGTGGTGGCAGAGCCCTGGCCTCACCACACCCTCCCACAGCCACAACCACACAGACAGCCCCTTGTCTGTCACCAGGAGTCTTGGGGCCCTGGCCTGAGCCAGGCAGGTTGGCCGGACACTAGCCTGGAAGTGGGGCCAGGATCGAGTGTCAGCCAGGTGGCTGGATGATCCAGGAAAGAATTCAGTGTCAGCAGAGCAGGTCCCCTAGGAGCCAGAGCTGCAAACAGAACACCCACAGCCTCATAGCAAGAGGGCCAGGAGGGGTCATAGGTACATGGCCCCATTTCTATATCTGAGGAAACTGAGGCACAGCCCGTAGTCTCACAACAAGTTGGCAATTCTGGGAGTTGCGCCCCTGGGCCAAGAGGCATTCATTCATTTGTTCTATTATTCATTCATCTAAAAAGCACATATTGAGGACCCACTGTGTACCAGGCTCTGCTTGGAGTGATGATGTTCTCATGAGGGAAGAGAGAAAATAAACAACAAATGTTATAAATTAACATTGTAGTGTATTAGAAGGTGTTAAATGTGATGGAAAATACAGAGCAGGTTTGAGGCCCAGGATGGCAAGGTGAGAAGGGAAGACTTGAGCAAAGTTCAGAAGGAAGTGAATAAGGAAGCCATGCCGACATCAGAAAGGAGAGCCTTTTAGGACAAAGGAATGGCCTGTGCAAAGACCCTGGAGTAGTGGCAGGGCCAAAGAAAAGGCAAAAATGCTCCTCCAGGACATCCCAGAAGCCTATGGAGATTTACACCATAAAAGAATTATTGCTGGTTACCACTATATCAGGCTCCAAGAAGGGGGTCAAGGGCAATTTTGTTCAATGAAATTCAAATTCCATTCTCTTTTGTAGTGTT